ACCCAAAACACTACGATTTTGGGATGCACCTAGTAGCATAACATTTATTATTAACAAAGACTTCTGAGTTCTGGTGCATTTCTGCGTGCAGGGTCATCATGTTACCACTATGCCGTATCTAGTTTTGGTTGTATTCTGGTTTCCTGTCTTGTCCCTCTCTGTTTATCTCCTCCTGTCTGTCTTTGCTCCAGCCCCGCCCACTCTCACCTGTTCCTCATGTTTTTGTTCTTACTCATTAGTTTCCCCTTTACATTCTGTTCTTTGTCCTCAGTGTGTGTCAGATCTTTGTTGTCTGTTGATGAAGTCTCATGCAAAGTCCAGGAATCTTTGATTTTGTACCTTGCTGCCACGTCACTACTTTTGTTTTTGTAAATAAAGCCTTTTTTTGCAACCTAAATCACTCAGTGCTGCATCTGTGGTTCAAACCACCCAAGCCCATTCATACCAGTTCCACACATGATCTTTCTTTGTACCGTGTCGTCACATGAAAGGAGCTCCTGAAGATAGAATCTCATAGGCTCGATGAACCAGATGGAGACTTGAATTTGAGAACAAAAATGTAAATGTTTATACCTGCAGTCTCATTAAACTCTGAGCGTTGGTGACCAGTGAGCCATGGCCAAAACTGCATTCCTGTTTGTTCACAAATGTTTGGTTTGTTACTTCTGCCTACGTTTTTGATTTAATCTGATGGATTTCTTTTTTTAAATACAAAAAAAAATTAAACATGGTTTTCTTTGGTTATCTGTCAGACGGGAGCTCCACAACGAAGGTCAGAATTAAGTTTTGCTGGTCCTGAGATAGACTTGAGACACTCGCATTGACTCWGTTTGATTTGTAAGAATCTTTGTCTCACATGTTAAACATGTCAAACTCCAGTGACGGGATTGTGAGCCTCTGTGCCTCATACAAATGAGTCAAGAACTTTGTGAAAATCACGGGTCATTCTAGAGACTCTATAAATGAACTAGTTGCAGCGCAATGAGATTGAACCTTAACTCTTCTACATTACTGAATCTCCTGGGTTAGTGAACCAAATCCACTCTTTAGAACAGAACTAAGGAGTCGTACATCTCAATTAACCTGAATCCTGCATGTTCTCTGTTCTGCAAGTTAGCTGACAGATGACTCAGATGAGTCGAGTCTCAGGTTCGAGTTAATAACCCACCTGAAACGCTGCAGACTCAGATGAWTCGRGTCACTGATTCACGTTAATAACTCACCTGAAAYGCTGCAGACTCAGATGAATCGAGTCACTGATTCACGTTAATAACTCACCTGAAATGCTGCAGACTCAGATGAATCGAGTCACTGATTCACGTTAATAACTCACCTGAAACGCTGCAGACTCAGATGAATTGATGATGTCTGGCTTTCTTCTTGTCCTGCAGATCTCCTGAGAAAGACGTCATGGTTCCAGACTTGAAACTGGTGATTCCAGACGGGTAAGAACAGTCTTATMCTCATCATGGCCTGTTCAGATGACCTAGGAAGTTTGAAAATTAACTTCAGTGACTGTGTGAAAAACCTTGATAGGGCTT